TAGACATACTCAACCATTGACTTGTTTTTTAAATATATTTGAGAGGGAGGTTGGAGGGGGGATCGGGATGGGGAATACATGTAAATCCATGGCTGATTCATGCTAATGTATGACAAAAACCATTACAATATTATAAAGTAATTAGCCTCCAACTAATAAAAATAAATGAAAAAAAATAATAACAAAAATATATATATTTGTAATCATTCCCATTCATTTCTATAAAATCAAAGGATTTCACCACCTTAAGCCAATGTTTTTGCAGATATGAGAAAGACTTGGGTCATTTGAAGAGGCTTCAAGTATTCTTGAAAATGTATCAGCTGGGAAAGAAAACTGAAGATGTGCTATTTGAAGCTCATCCGTTGCCCTCCCCCATTTGATAACATGAAAAGTTTTAACTGGCATAAGACTTAAACCAAAAAAGTATGGGTGTATTTCATCCAAATTAAAAGCATATTCAACCAGCGTCAAAGAGAGCTAGAAGTTCAATGCAACATTGCCATTTAAAAAGAATGTTGTAAAAATAGCATTCTTTGTTTAAACTGTGGTTTTTTACTTGCTGACTTTACCATTTGAATATAATATCATGGACAAATTTATTGTCTATTTTTGAATATTCACTCTATTTCACTGGTGTTGGAGTAATTCTCTGTTATGTGAAGTCAATTAAGGATGATACATATGTCAGCTAGGGAATCATCCAAATTTCCATTTGAGCATTCCATGTTCTCCTTTCTCTGCCTCCAAATACCTTATTATTCTCTTCATTTTTTAGTCTTTTTATCAGAACTTTATCTTTGGGAGGAAAAATTTATCTGTAGAAAAATAAACATTGAAAGAAAGAGATGTTTCTATTAGCTGGAAATCATTTATTGCCTCTATAAAAGTTTAAATAAAACTCTACAAAAAGTTCACATTACTGTCCGATATGGTTTTAACATGATATGGTTTCAGAGGTAGTGCCAGTAAAATGGGACACAAAATACTAAAAGAAATAAGCAAGTTAATGCAAAATAAAATTTCAATGTCAAACAATATATACTCAGTACACTTTAATGGAGCAATCAATATATTTCCATGAAAATATCACTTTATTCTCTTTTATCCGTCAGCAAATATGCTCTTAATAAAGGTTTGTTTGGGGCAATGGTATGTTGACTATAGGCTCACAAGTTAGTAGCCTCCTCCATTTTAACACCACAGAGCATAGCTTGGTGAAGAGCATGATACAGTGTTGTCTGCCAAGGATAACACCAGCTTCAAAAATAAACCTTTTTATTAACCACTTAGACATAACGGTACTAAGAACTCCCTTAAAAAGCTAATCTATCAGAATTTGGCATTTTTTGGATGTGAATGAAAATCTAATATTTGTTAAAAAATATTATATATATATATATTCCTTGTGTACTATCACTGCAATATGGAGGAAGGAAGGAGTTTTCAGAATTCTTAAATATGATCATAAGCTATCAGGCCAAGATGAAGAAAGTATTCCTTGGAAATGGGCTGATTACTTCATCTTCCTTAAAAAGGTGCAACAAAGTAAATTTTAGAGCCTAGAATTATTTTAAATATACCACTTATGTTTTCTCATACAAACTTACATACTGCTGACTGAAAGTGCCTTAAAATAGATATTACTGTCTGGAGAAACTACCTGTTCGACATTTTTTGAGGTCTTTGTAATATATAGAGCACAGGATGTGACTGGCCTGTGACATTTTCTTCCTCAACAATAACATTTCTATCACAAAATTTTTATGGTAGTACAAAAGTCCTGCTGTTGATAACTGATCTTACAACAAAATATCCCTAAGTTCCATGAAAAGGCCAATTTTCTTGCAACGATTTCCTTTCATGTGCTGATTTTCCTATTCTCCAGGGTAACTGCAGTTCTCATTTTCTTGGGACTAATTTTAGCTTTGTTGAAATGAGAAAGGTTACTTTAGTTTCTTTTTTAAAAATACACACTTTGAAAAGTGCTCTTAGCTACACATTTCCTGTTTAGAAACTGTTTGGCTATCCTAAGCCAGGGTTTCCCTGGTGGTTCATTGGGAAAGAACCAACTTTCTAAGTCAGGAGACATGGGTTTGAAAAGATCTCCTGGGTCAGAAAGACCTGCTGGAGAAAGAAATGGCAACCCACTCCAGTATTATTGTCTGGGAAATCCCATGGACAGAGAAGCCTGGTGGGCTATAGTACATGGGGTCACAAAAGAGTTAGACATGACTTACTAACTAAATAACAACAAAGCTAGCCCAACAGCATACATCAAAGTGTAGTGAACAAAAAAAAAGAAAGTCGTTTTTTTTGTTTTTGTTTTTTTTTTCATTTTTGGCCTCTGTCTTTGCGAGAGATACTATGGCTTCAGATAGGTTGTTCATTATGGTTTCAAAGCCTTAAAGAAAGAAACACTAGTTGTTTTCTCCTCCTAGTCATGAAGATGTTCACAAAGCAGTCCATAAACTGATATTTTCCTGTTCTGAGTTGTCTCAAAACATTCTAATCTATACGTGTGAAAATTCATTTCTTCATAATAGATTTTAGTATTTAACATTTGAATGTTTTTCAAAATCTATGGTATATAATTTCATCCTGCCAATGTTGTTTTCCTGGATACAATATATTTCCTTTGGTTCCTGCTACAAAAAATGCTGAAGCACAAATGTCAATACAAAAGGATTCCTAAGTGTACTGTTATGATTTATGCAGTTGCTTTTTTAATATAACTTTAAACAGGGACAATGGAATCATCTACACTTCCTCTCAAAGTTGTAGATTAGGATTCCTTCCAGGAATCATACCTAGCAAAAATCTTTGAATCTATTAAAATTTCAACTTCCATAATTTTTATTTATATTCCTGAAAAAGTGAAAATAAGCAATTTATTCTGAAGTTTACAGCTTGCTGAGGAGTAGAAATCCAATGTCCCTATTGTAGAAGTTCAATGAATATTTTTTTTGATTTATTGACTAGTTGCTGAGGTGTGACAAGTTTAATCCACAGACTTGAAAGATGTATGAGAGAATCACCTCTTTTTACTTCATAGCAAGAACTAAATAATAAGGGGTTTAAATTGAAGCAGGAAAAATCAGTCTAAAGATAACCTCAACAACTAGTAAAAAGTCCTAAGAGAGACTTGAAGGCCTTGAATTTGTCCATCTTACCTTAAGACACAGTTTCTAAGTTTGTTGTGTATAGTAGGAACTTTTTATCTCATAGGGGAATTAGTGTGACTGATAAATTTAAACTTAGTATCCCAGGTTCCATTATTCAGCCCTCTTTTCTCTGAATGGAATTTGACTTGTCAACAAGGTATACTAAACATTGTTTAAAAAGAATTATATGGCTCTCAGCTAAAAGGGAGCATACCTAACAACTGAAATATTTCTGCTAACAAAGAACCATAATAGTAGAATGGCAGTGATACTAAATCAAACAAATAGCTGACAAGGTGAAAGATTATTAATGAACCTTCGTTATTTGTGTGTGGGGGAGGGGTATTTCAAGGTCAAAGACATCCATGACTGCCTTTCTGTATTCATAAGTTGGCACCTGTGAATTCCAAGATCAAAATTGGCTTTACTTACAAATTACAAAAATATCTGACATAGAAACTTGATGGCCAAAAGCATCATCTAGCTATTTTATTAATCTTTTAGGTATAGAGAGTAATTTAACCATATAATACAGTTCCACACTGCCAACTCACAAATATGTGATATTGTGTGCACAGGGAGAAACTGGCATTTTCCCTTCTATGGGTCTTGGTAATGCTGTCTGGTACCCTGGAATGGAAGGTCTGCAAAAAATTGTGTGGTGCCATCTGGTACCTACTAATAGAACAACTGGGTAGCATGCCCGTTTTAGGAGTGTACTCATAGAATAGTATTCAGGAAATTCAGAGAACTGTGATTTACAACCAAAGTAGTATAATTCTTTTGGGTATTATCCTTGGCTGATAACTCTGTACAAACCTCATATGGAAATGAGGTAAATTTAGTGGCAAAGCTCAGTGACTAGATTAAAGAAAGGGAAACTCAGTGGCTTACCTTGACTTCCCGTTTCACAAAATCTAAGAACTGAAAAAAATATTATGATGATGGTGATAAACTTATAATACTTGTGCAACATTTCATCTAACTTAGTTATACAAATTTAGTAGTAGAATGTGAATCTTATTAATATTTTTCACTTGCAGCAAGAAAGAGTTCCCATTAAGATGAATCTTTTAAAACATTTTGTTTCTATACACTTAGCAATTCATTTGACTTCATGTTGATTAAATTACCTTTCCATAATGCTCTTCCTCCTCCTCCCAAATATTTGGGTTAATAATAGAAGAATATCAATATTTTGGATTATATACTAGCAATCACTTCAATTTTCAATCATTAACTTATGTCAAATTCTCACAGGAGTTTAAAAATGAACCCCAAGATTTATCTAGGTTATAACGTTTTTAATGTTTTTTTTTTTTTTAATTTTCAGTCTACTTTCCTGAGTAAAAGTGTATCTGGATGACAGGAAAAGGAGAGAGGAAGAAAGATGTAATGGTTACAAAAACACGACTAGTCAAGCTTCAGTAACTTGATAAGCTGTGTTGAAATATCTTTTTGTGTCTCTGGTCAAAACTATTACTAAAACTAAGATTCACCTATAAAACAAACAAACAAAAAAAGACCTTTCAGTAATTAGGCATTATGCATTTCATAGCTAAACTGCTCAAAATTAAGTACATTTTCCTCCAGAGTTCCATCAGTTTGGGAAAAAGCTCTCAAACAATGCTTTTAAATTTTACATACTTTTTTTTGTACCATCTGTACCATTTTGCACCACAGCCATTATATCTCATTCATCCTTCACAGAATACATTGTTTCAGCAATATATTTTTCCAACTAATGAATTTTGGGGCAGCACAATGCAACTATCTTGAAATGCATACCTGTTGGATAGCCAAAAGGCTGTATCATGTATCCCTCCCCCACCCCAATCACAAACTGTCTGAGGCATTTTTCTCTGATAAAGAAGACACACTGAATGAGGTATCATCAGGCTCCGGCGAGGCATGATTGAAATCCATCTCTTCTAATTCAGGAGGTAAATCTGACAGCAATGCCTGAGTCAGAAAAATCAATTGTTTTGAATTAGTATTTGGACATATTTTTCCAACTTTATAGTTGTGGTCCTTTCACATTGATTTACTCTTACAGATTTAAAGAAAGGAGCATTTCTCTCTCAGAACCTTATACAACATCTTATCTAAGAGAAAAACTCTTCATATACTATTAAGGAAGTAATAAAATACTAGATCTTGAGAGTGTGGATTATGTAGAGTGCAACCTTGGACAAACAGGGAATAAGGAGAGAAATGAGCAACTACTCTGAACCAAATGCTCTGAAATGTCTGTGATAAGTGATTTTCATACCAGTTTTGAGTGTTCAGTGATCACTGCTAAAGGACTTTAAAATTGTATTCCTTATTAAAATACTCCTGCTCAGTTATGCTGTCTGTCACATTAAAATACAGTTCACAAGACTATTTTGTACTTCAGTGGGAGAAATAATTAAGTAATTAGGGGAAAAGTTCAGCTATTCTATTTTAGACAAAATTTTAGCATTTTAAAGGTCCAAGTGACTTTTTTTTTTTCTTTCCTTAGGCTATGGTCATATATACAGATGGCCAAGCATTCACAAAGGCTCTGCTGAACCAGTGATTTTGGCTGTGTAATGATGTTTCTAGAGGACTGCTCATCTCTCTTCTGCAGTAATTAGGATAAGGCAAGAGCCATGAACTAAGTTTTGCCATGGTGTAATTGTTCCATCTGGAGTTGCAGAACCTGCATTCATGCTAAAGAAAGAAATAATTAATCAGGTTTTATCTGTCTAGTAGTGCTGTTGCCCATTTGACCATCAGAAATAGCAAACTAAATGAATGATTTGCTGCACCCCATACTAAAATAATGTAATATTATCTCGGCAATTTTTAGACAACATTAGTTGCAGTGTTAGCTTTGGGTGCAATAGTTAAAAAAAAGATCAATTGCAGGCTTGCCTCTACCCAAATAATGAACAGAAAGACAGGGCATGAACACATGAAATCCACTGTTGAAATAAGACAATACTCTCCTATTCTCTTTATTAAAAGAAGTTACAGTTATAAATCCTATAGTTTTTTTTTTTGTTGTTGTTGTTGTTGTTTGTTTTAGAGCAAAGAGGAAAGATTAGAACTTTCTGTCAGGCTTCAAAAGGAAAGGTTAACTCCAGTCTGTACAAAAATTTATTTATTTTCTGCTATTAAATGGTTCATGAACTTCTTGGTGAAACTGAGAGTACTGTTTACAAAGCAGTCACCTAAGGGTACTGCATGCTTTCTAAGGTTTCTAGGTTGCAGTAATAGGGCACAGAACCATTTTCTTCTAGGTCAGTTGTTTACCACTAACCCAGTATAGTACAACAAAGTCTTTGCTGACAATGGTTGATCATGGTTTATGAGAAATATATCACTGGATTTATTTCACTTTGCAAGTGCAAAGAAGCCATATTAAAGAGTGCAAAGTGTTCCAATGAACAAAGCTTAGAGTACTGGAGAGTCATGGAGGTGAGCAGACTTAACGGCATTTAAATTCTAGTGGGGAGAACTTCAAATCAAAGAAGCACTACTATGTATTTCTTTGTCATTGCATTTAATGTAGTTGCCTGTCTAAAATCAGTACAGTATGAAATAGGGAAACTTTAATATCTGGGGCAGAATGAGGCACTACTAATGCATGAGGTCCATTTAAAAATATTTCTTTTCGATATCTTTCTGTATTGCAACACTGGCACCCTGAACAAATCTTCAGATTCTGTCAGTTGCTAGAACTGTCTTTTTCATAGACTAAAGTGAACACAATGAACTTGCTTCACTCCAGGTTCTCTACCAGTCAGAGTGTGACCTACTGCCATTTTTCCCAAAAGATTATAGCATTTCCCAATAGAATAGAATCACATAGTGAATTATCAAGGGAAGAAAGATCATAACTAATGACTTAGTACAGTGCTGACAACATTATTTTTTATTTTAAAATGGCTATTGGTTTGGATAAGCTAATATTCAGTCAGACATTATCATATATTTTAAAATCCTGGACTGTTTCATGGGGGCAAAATAGTCTGTGGACCACTCAGCTCACTCAACTTACCCAAATCAAGATTAACAGAAAAACAGGATTTTTAACTGAGAAACTAATGACACAATGATTCTCTTTTATTGGGCAGAATAAAAATCAAGCCCTTCCAGAAATAAACCTTTAAGCATTTCATAGAGTTAAGATCAGCAATTTAAGAGATGACTTGGGTAACTTTTGTGTTGGTATCTTCTATATTTTTAGACCATATTTGGAAATCCATTATACTCAATCTCAACTACAAAATCAGTATTTTCTACCTGGATGCTGATTATATAGGCTATGATATTCAGTACAATTTTTGTATAACTATCTCTTTCCTCCCTTCAGCCAATGTTTTCTGCATATCTTAGTTCATCAGCCTTTTTTTTCAGAGGAAAAGTAGAGGATAATGGCAAAAGTAAAATGTACAATAGGTAATTTTCTTATTTTTTTTAGTGGTTTTTGGGGAAGAATAAATCCAGGTTAGAATTAGAAAATAAAATGCAGCTTGTGTGCTATCCCTAGATATAAAAAGTCATAGACAATTGTGAATAAGCTGACCCCATAACTCTGAAATACAAACCATGCATGACTTTTGGGGCTAGGACCACACTCCCAATTACTCCCATATTGAACCTAATTCTACTTTTGCTTTTTTAAATATTAATGTAATTAGAAATTACAGTTCTTTGGGGACCATGTTCAAGACTATCATCTTATTCATTTAAAATCTTTATTTTAGGTTCCTAAAAAACAAATACATTTTCAATATGCCATGGAATATGCTTAGCTCGCATAATAAACCAAAATGTTTAAATAAAACTGGCAAAGATGACTGGTAACTACCATCCTGGAATGTCTGCATATGTACAGCATGGGGGAAGCACAATTTATGAAATTGGACACATAATATACATGCTGGACTAAGCCTCATGAGTAAATTACAGCTTAATTTTTGTGGTTCAGTACTTTGATGAACTATATAAAGATGTTTTCCTTATTAAAAACAGGAGAATTCTGGGATGCTAAGACTAATCTTTTTTCTTGGAGATGACTGGAATAGGCTACATACATCTTGCTTGGATATAAGGAATAAATGCTTGTACTCTAGCTGAATAAAAACCACTGAGATTGCTTCCTAATTAAGGCTTACCTGTGTAATATACTACTTACATTGAATTTCTCTGATAATCAGTAATCAACATGGTAGTGCACAACTCAGAGGCATATTTGGTATCATTTAGTATTAAATATAACACATTTAGTATTAAATATAACATTTAACATAATTTTATATTCTTTTTTTTTTTTTTAGGCTACCCTGGTGGCTCAGATGGTAAAGAATCTGCCTGCAATGCAGAAGACCCGGGTTTGATCCCTGGGTTGGGAAAATCTCTTGGAGTAGGAAATGCCACCCCATTCCAATATTCTTGCCTGGGAAATCCCAAATACAGTTCATGGGGTTGCAAAGAGTTAGACATGACTGACACGACCTATTCTTTTTTAGCAAGATTAATAAATTATTACACAAATTTTAACAGAAAAAGTGAGGCAGAAAATGTAATTTGGGAAGAATTTTCAACAAAAAAAAAATCCACAGTGACAAACAAGACATTTCACTTCATCTTTGGGGTAGTGGAATCAAACACTATAGTTAAATTGGGAAAAGTAAATGCTGCACTGCGGTTACAAAGAATTTCACAAAGTAATTTCAATTATTTTTAGTGATGTGCAACATATCATGGGACAGAAGGTATTCAAACACCTGTGAACTTTAGTAGGGGTTGGAAGGCTAACTGGAATCCAGAAGAGAGGCAAATGCCTCACTTCTTTCATTCATAGAAGGTCCCAAAATATGTGCCTCTCCAGTTAGTGTAACCCCATCTTTACAACTGTTTTGAGAATTTCTTTAAAATTAATTAAATGAAATAATATGTACAAGATAGTGAATAGAGCCAATAATTATATTTTAAAAATTTAAAATGTTTCCCTACTTAATACTGGCTTGGAATTAACAAAGTATGTTAATCATTTTGATTTTCCACTAAAGCAGCACACAAAATCTGAGTATTTATTCCCAAGAAAGCTATATTAACAAGTCAGGAGGTAACAAATCCTTCCTTGATGACAAGCAGGAATGAGGTATAAAAATGAAAAAAAATAATAATATGAAGAATCCAAGTGTGACTTGCCACTTTTCAACATTATATATTACAATTCTCTATTCTCTTTTGTTGCTTACCTGTTGTTGTTCCTTATTGTCAGCTTTTATAGCTAGTATCAAGCTTCTTACAAATGTCTGAAGTTTAAAATTCTTTTGCTTCTGAATCTCTAACTCATTTTCAATGAATCTGACTTCTTCATTCTGAAGGAGAAAGCATCAAATAATAAATTACTCTGTGCAAACCTAAGATTACACATGTTTGATGCACCATAACACATTTAAAAAGAAATCAAATTAGAGGGACGATAAAAAGATAAAATTTTAGCATAAAGGATTCTAAAGCACAGAAGTAAATTATCCTATTACTCAAAGACTGCCTTTTAAGCAAATCACCAACAGAAAATAATCTGCAAGGTCAGAAATCCAATCAAATAAATTCCTGTAAGAGAAAAATCAAGAAACATTTCCCTTCTTGGAAAGAGATCCTACATTAAACATAATTAGCATTCAGATTAGGATTAAGAATATACAGAGTCAGATTTACCCCAAGTAAAGAGCAATAGCAGATGCAGTAATGCTGAACATATCATTCACAAAGTCAAGCACTGAGAACTAAAAAGATTATTATTTTGCAGCAAAGAGGGACTTAAAATTTCATTAGACTATCAAATAGTTTGCTGAGCCCCCCCCCCGTTATGTAAGAGTCTGTTATTCAGAAAATATCTCCAAATTTACAATGATTTGAAACCCAGTCTCTCTTCACTATTTTTCCTAGTTGTGTAGTCAAATAACAATAAACTAGGTTTGGGAGGATTTTAATGCCAGATCTACTGATAATTGTGCAAACTGGTGCAGGACAATTAACCTGTGATTGTATATGCTAGTCAATAAAATGGCTATAATACTAGTAATCTTTGGTAATTCTAACTTGAGGGTTATAAGGGTCAAATAAGATAATGGCCATGGAATTGCTACCTATAGATTTTCTATTTAAGCTACAGAAGTTAAGAATGTGTGACACTGGTGAAAGTGTGGACATATAGATCAATGGACATAATAGAGAGTTCAGAAATATATATTATATATTGCATCATATATGTATATATATGTACACACACATACCCATTTGGTTGACTTTTGATGCTGCTGCTGAGGTAATTCAATGCACAAATAGTCTTTCAACATTTCAAGAGTGGTTCAAAACTTGTAAATCCATACCTCTTCCAAAAAAGATTATCAAAACTTAACTCACATAATATACAAAATTTAATAAGAATTGGATCACAGACCTAAATGTAAAACCAAAAGCTATAAAACTTCTAGAGGAAAACTGAGGAAAAACTCTCTATGTCCTTGGGTTAGGCAAAAATTTTTCAATAAGACACAAAAATCATGAAACTTAAAAGAATTCATTTAAAAAAGAGAAAACCCACATCATTGCTTTTCAAAAAACACTTAAGAAAATGAAGATACAAGCTACATATTAGGAGAAAAAAGTTATAAATCACATATACGATAAATGATTTGCATTCAGGATGCATAAAGAGCTCTTATAGTACAAATATAGGCCCACCAATAGAATAAAAAGCAGGTGAAATATTTGAACATACAATTTATCAAAGAAGATATGAGAGTGACCAATAAACACTTGAAATTGCTTGATATTGTTTGTCATAAAGGAAATGTAAATTAAAATCACAAAGAGATGCCACCACCAACATAATGTTGTTGTTGATGTTCAGTCACTCAGTCTTGTCTGACTTGTTGTGACTCCATGGACTGCAGCATGCCAGGCTTCCCTGCCTTTCATCATCTCCTGGAGTTTGCTCAAAATCATATCCTTTGAGTCAGGGATGCTATCCAACTATCTCATCCTCTGTCATCCCCTTTACCTCTTGCCTTCAATCTTGCCCAGCATCATGATCTCCCAGCATCATGATCTCCCAGCATCAGGCCAAAGTATTGGAGCTTCAGCTTCAGCATCAGTCCTTCCAATGAATTTTCAGGATTGATTTCCTTTAGGATTGACTGGTTTGATCTCCTTGCTTTCCAAGGGACTCTCAAGAGTCTTCTCCAGCATCACAGTTCAAAAGCATGAATTCTTCAGCATTCTTCTTTATGGTACAACTATCACATCCATCCATGACTACTGAAAAAACTATAGCTTTGACTAGATGGACCTTCATTGGCAAAGTGATGCCTCTGCTTTTTAATACCCTGTCTAGGATTCTTATAACTTTTCTTCTAAGGAACAAGCATCTTTTATTTTCATGGCTTTAGTCACCATTGTAAGTGATTTTCGAGCACAAGAAAATAGTCTGTTACTGTTTCCCTTGTTTCCCCATCTATTTGCATGAGGTTATGGGACCAGGTGCCATAATCTTAGTTTTTTGAGTGTTGAGTTTTAAGCCAGCTTTTTCACTCTCCTCTTTCACCTTCATCAAGAGACTCTTTAGTTCCTCCTTGCTTTCTGCCATTAGGGTGGTACCATCTGCACATGTGAGGGTATTACTATTTCTTCTGGCAATCTTGACTCCAGTTGTGCTTCATCCAGCCCTGTATTTTGCATGATATAGTCTGCATATGAGTTAAATAAGCAAAGTGATAATTACATACTTGACATACTGCTTTCCTAATTTTGAACCAGTCCATTGTTCCACTTTCTGTTATATAAACTATTGCATCTTTACCTGCATACAGGTTTCTCAGGAGGAAGGTAAGGTGGTCTGGTATTCCTATGAACATACTAAATAGATTAGGTTAAAGAGACTGACAATAGCAAGTGCTTATGAGAAGAATGTGGAGCAATTAAAACTCTCATATTTTGTTGGTGGGAGGGTAAAGCCATACAGCCACTTCGGGAAATGTCTTGCAGTTTCTTGAACATAGCCTTTCTTACCATCTGACTCAGCAATCTTACTCTTAAGTATTTACCCAAGGGACATGAAAATGCATGTCTACAAAAAGGCATACATGAATATTCATAGCAGCTTTATTCATAATAGCCCCAAACTAGATGTAACACAAATTTTCATCACCAGATGAATAACAAATTGTGATCATGCTTATGCAATTGTGTCCAATGTCAAAACTAAATGTGTGAAAATGTGAATTTTATTATATGTAAATTATATATGATATACATAAAAAACATGATTAAAAATTATTAGCCAGCTTTCTTGCCAAATAGCTTGAAAATAAGCTATGAGTATCCTCTGCAACTGGAGAACCTGTCTCAAAGAGAATAGCAGGAACTTTAACATCATTTGCTCAAAAAGCTGCATAAAATATATTAAAATTAGTTAATTCCATGGGCATTCCTTTTACAATTGAGAGGATAAAGCTGTATTAACCATATTCAATCTATGAATATGTTTACTGCACCAGTTATATCAACTCAATTTAGAACTTATTTGCCCTAATAAAAGGGCTTCCTTTTCAGATCATTTAATAGCAAGTGAATGGTCTGCAAATGATTCAAGCTAAATTATTTATTTAAAGGCATTCTACAGTAATCTAAGTTATAAGTAAGCATTATAATAAAATTCCACTTGTTCCTGCCATAATACATTTGACTAATTCTAAACATTATGTTTTCTTAGTATTTATTGCCAGAACAACAGTATTAGTACTGGTCAGGAAGTCTTTTTGAATACAGGCGATATCTATCTTCATTATCACAGTGTCTCCTTTGAAGGCACAAGTCTATCTGAACTACACTCACTGTTCACAAGAAGCATTTTAAAAACAATTCATATTTGCAAAAGTCAGGAAGCATCTTTTGGTATGCAGACCTCTAATTTCTCCTGAAACTATTCCTCTTCCTTATGTATTTATGCAATGTTTTAAAACATAAATAGCTTTAAGATAATTTAATATTACAGACATTTTCTTCTTGGAGCTGTGATTTGCAAGCCTATTAAACACTTTCTAGACTATAGGCAGCGATTTATGTGGCCTTTTAAGATATTCCTAAGTTAATGGTTTGAGTGGAAGTAGTAAGATAAACATCAGTTACTGAATTTCACAAAACAAGATGTAGCTAATTTTTCTTATTAAAATCTTCCTTGTATTTCCACTAAATTATGTCAATTATTCTCCAAGATGAATAACTGGAAGCACTCAAGGTTTCATATGGACCAGGGCTTTGATCTTTCTTTGACAAAGGAGGCAAAAATATACAATGGAGAAAAAGCAATCTCTTTAACAAGTGTTGCTGGGAAAACTGGATGACCATCTGTAAAAGAAGGAAACTAGAGCACTTTCTAACACCATACACAAAAATAAATGCAAAATGGATTAAAGATCTAAATGTAAGACCAGAAACTATAAAACTCCTAGAGGATAACATAGGCAGAACACTCAGACATAAATCACAGCAAGATCCTCTATGATCCACCTCCCAGAATAATGGAAATAAGAACAAAAATAAACAAATGGGGCCTAATTAAACTTAAAAGCTTCTGCACCACTAAGGAAAGTGTAAGTAAGGTGAAAAGGCAGCCTTCAGAATGGAAGAAAATAGTAGAAAATGAAAAAACTGACAAAGAATTAATCTCAAAAATATACAAGCAGCTCAATACCAGAAAAATAAATGACCCAATCAGAAAATGGGCCAAAGAACTAAACAGACATTTCACCTAAGAAGACATATAGGTGGCTAATAAACACATGAAAAGATGCTCAACATCATTTATTATCAGAGAAATGCAAATCAAAACCACAATGAGAGGAGTGCGAAGACAGTGGAGGAATAGGACAGGGAGACCATTTTCTCCCCCACAAATTCATCGAAAGATCATTTGAACACTGAACAAATTCCACAAAGCAACTTCCGAATGCTGGCAGAAGACACCAGGCACCCAGAAAGACAGCCCATTGTCTTCAAAAGGAGGTGGGAAAAGATATAAAGGATAAAAAGAGGGATGGAGACCCGACCCAGGGAGGGAGTCTTAAAAGAGGAGAAGTTTCCAAACACCAGGAAACCCACTCACGGGCAGATCTGTGTGGAGTTTCAGAATCTCAGAAGGCAACATAACTGGGAGGAAAAATAAATAAATAAAACCAGTAGATTATGTGCCTAACTGCAACTCCCAGTGGAGAAGTAGCCCAGACACTCACATCCCTCACCAGCAAGTGGGGGCTGAACAGGGAGGCATGGGCTGTATTGCTTGGGGTAAGGACCGGGCCTGAATGCCCTG